AGCAGGGAGCCCGATGTGGGACTCGATCCTAGGACCCTGGGATCATGACCTGAGCCGAAGGCAGACGCTTAACCATCTGAGCCACCCAGGCGCCCAAAAGGACCATTGTTTTAACTGAATACATTTAAACACATAAACACACCCATAGGTGAAATCATTATAGTTTCTCCCAAGTCACTGAGAATATCAAGGGTTGAGACCCCAGAGGGTGGGCTTAGTGCCCAACCCAGCCCCGGACATAGGTCCTAAGGGTTTCACTAAAACAAATATTGGTGCTGTTGACTTTAACAAGCTTCCTGTCATACATAGAGATTAGGTTCAGGGGAGATGGCATATATGCTCAAACAGAAGACAGTATTTTAGGCAATTCCCTACTTTCCCGGAGAAAAATCTCAAAGACGTGTGCTTTAAATGTTTTGGACAAACGCTCATCTGTAATCGCTAAATGAAATTGTCAAATGATGATGATATGTAATTAAATTGAAACAACATACAAGGTATACCACCTAAAATCTGTGGAATGAAGCAGTCGCTTCTTCATTTGTATATAAAGTTTATAGAATTAAGAGTTTTTAAAAGATGGCAGTGACATTATTTGCAATTAGAAATTTCAAGATTCCCATCAAGAATTTCTTTTAAAGGTCAAGAAACTTGTTTTTGAAGAATAAAACCATCCTGGATTACTAATTTTTACCTACCAGCAAAAGGTTTTTGAGAAATGCGCAGATGTTATACTTACTATAGGGGAGATGGAGATGTTTACTCACAGGGCTTGAAAAGCAAATACTCCAGTATTTGTACTCATGACCAAGTTAAAGATGTAACAACTAACAAGTTTGCTTCAGCTATGATGTGGTTCGAAATATGTACCTTCCAACGAAAAAACTTAATGCCTAGAATACAAGGCAACCCCCTTTTCTAAGGAGGAATTAATTTGGAGAAAAATACATCTTAGAGTACTTGGAAGCTAGACCCGAATTCTGTCCTCCTTCATTGGAATAAAAGGCAAAGGGATTCTCGACTGTTTTCCAGACCAGTGAGGGACAGTCAGACCCAATCTGAAGAAACGAAATGAGCAGAAGTAGTTGACGTGACAGGAAATCAGGCCAAATCAAGTGAGGTTTGATATCAGTTTGTCAGTTTTATTGCTTTTGCATTTTAAGCTCATCACGGCAAGGTAGTGATTTCTCTTTAATAATTAAATTTCAGCACATTTGACAGCAAATGAGACCTCTTATCATTCCAGTCCTAAACTTTAAAAGGCAACAGATTTTAGAAACAATTAAGAAATAAACTTTCCCTTGCAAATTATTTTAAAATATTTTTTTTATTTCCCCATGTACATTTGTTTATACCAAATGGTTAAATTTTTGATGAAATTAATGACCGGGTTATTGAAGAGTGCCATCTTTCTAATGAGCTCTAAAGATTTTTTTACGAAGCCCTACTTAGGAGCCTACTTAAGCTGGGCAACTGGGCTGATCCTACTCAGAAAAGACACAGGAGCAAACTGTATAGAAAATAAAAACTTTATTTTTTCAAGTTTATAAGATAGTTCCCATTACATATAACATTATGGTCAAGGACTCTACACAGCCACGAATGCCCGCAGTCACATAAATATATCCGATCCACTCAATGCCTTTTCCTGCTAAATGAGGCATCTGAAGTCCAGAGGGTCATGTTTTGAGTAGAAGTTGTCCTTAATGAGATGGCTCCCGTCAGTGCATTAGGGACTAGCCATGGAGCCTTGCTTGCTGGAGCTAAGTCAGAGGAGAGGAAGGAACAGAGGGCCTGCAAATTGGGGATGGGACAGAACTACATTTTCTCTCATAGTTAAAGATATTTTAGAATCCCAGAATTCAGATTTGGCTTCTTTTAAGTGTGAACATCTGGGGACTTCCAAGTTTTGGATGAAAAAGGAAGCCAATTTAGTGGTAAGAAGTAGAAACCTGCTTAAAGAAGGGCCCTAACTGTCCCTCTTGTACAGGAGTGAGGAGAGGAAGGCCCCAGCTCACCACCCTTGGCTTAGACCACCGTCCTCCCAGGAAGAGGAAGAATGTGGCCCTGCCCCTCTCCCCATCCCCCTCGGTTCAGTGGCACTGACACCCATTCAAGGTAGTGAACATCTAGATGCTCCATATGCTGCCGCTAGAGTTTGCCAATCAGATTCTACTTGGAGCTTGAAAAGTGAGTTTGTATAAACTGCGAACAAGCTGTGGCACAAGTCTCCTGGGACACTGGCTTTGCCCCTCAACCTGCAGAGCAGAAGACAGGAACATCCCAAACCAAATAAGAGCCCAAACAGGCATCGAAGTCTGGAACAGGCATCTATTCTCCCGGACACCACCAGCTGCCCGAGGGGCACCGGACAGGGTGATACTAAGGCACAGTCAGTTTTACATTCGGAAGTCAAGCCACCTCTTAAACCCAGGACACATGTGACAACTCCAGATCCCACACTAGAGACAGTCCTCACCATGAAACGTGCAGACCCATCTTACAGAACCCACAGTGCCCGGCTGGGGGAAAGACTCATCATGTGGCTAATTTCATGGGGACACTTTCTAGTAAAGAGGGCTTCCCCTTGAAGAAATGACCCACGGTATCCTTTTGTCCTCAGCTTCCAAGAGCTCTTGGTGCTACCCACTTATTTTCCTTTCCAGATCTTTGTGCTGGAACACAGGGTAGAAGAACGCTGTGTTCCCTGGATAACTCATTTTGGCAGAGAGGAATCGAGAAGCTCTCATTTTCTGTCTGTCCTATAATGAGGGCAGCAACAACCAGAAGAAAGCAGAAGGGCTCTGCTGGGTAGAGTTTCCTTACCTCTCTTCACCAATTTCAAGTTCCTTTTGCAAAGACCCAAGCTGGGGAGTCAGGGCCGGCTTGGGGGAGTGAGGGAAATGCCGTTGAAAGAGGAGTCCAACTCATAGGGATAAAGAGCTTCTCCCAAAGGGCAGGGAGAGGGAAGTGTTCGTGTGTGGCCCTGTGTGCGTGACGGGGTACCACTCCACAGCCTCACAAGCCTGAAGTACAGCACCAACCAGGTGGCCTATGTCCAGTGCAGGGAACCAACAGTTATACTGCAGTATGGGGAGACCTTAGGGCCTGCAAGAAAGGCCCATCATAGAGCTTTCTAAGATCAATTATCAAGCAAGGCAAAGCAGCATGTGGACAACTATGCTGAACACAGACAATGGAAGGCTGGCCTCCAACTGCACGCCCCATCTCTTCCCCACCTGCCAGAGGCGGCAAGGTCAGAGAGGCAGCTAAGTAATGAGCACGGACTTCAGCTCCTTCCCAAAAACTGCTTCCCTAAAATTGTGAGTAATGGAGCACTTTCCCCATCAGTTCGGGAGGAATGTGTCTATCAGTTTTTCTCTGCTGCCATTTGGGTGGTCTGGCGTCGGAAGGAGCCTGGCCCCTTTGTGCCACAACATTTCTGGAAATGGATACCCAGAATCTCTGGGGGCGAGCAATTACAGCTGGGGTTGGTCAAGGGATGCCTCCTACTGAGGACCCAGACTGCACACCTGAGGTGCTTATATGATCACTTCTCCAGGCAGCCGGGGAGAGGCTCAACTTCCTCATCTCTAGGAAGTTAATCCTGCCTGAGCAGACGCCCACGTTTGTCTTGGAGGGATGGAGCATCCACAACACAGCTGGGCTGTAAGGCTGGGGTTAGTTGCCTGGCACCCACCAATCTTCCTAGAGGTCAGGGTGAGAGACGTTCCTGCATTTAGCCCAGGATTCAATTTTCAGGCATGGAGTGGGGTCCCAGCACCCTCATTTAGATCAGGAAAGTCTTTCTGGCCTTCTGGTTTCCCATTTTAGAATGGGATTTGAGAAGCAGGAAGGGTGTTCCATGGGAAAAGTAGGTTTTGATCATAGCAATCTGTTCTTCAGTTTCAGGAAGAGATTTGGGTAAATATATGCCCAAAATACCTTTCTTGGCTTAAGGGCTTCAAAGGAAGTCAAATGTAGTTACGAGTCTGTTCTTAGATTTGATTTAACTTCTTGGGTCCAAAGCCGAGCGACTGGCCAGAGCTGCATGGAGGCGGATGTGAGGTACAGAGGGCAGGAAAGGGGCAAGAGTTTAGTACTGATGATTAAGAAGGAGGAGAAGGCTGTAGGGGTGAGCATCTGCTGGGGGAGGGTGCTTCTCTGCAGGAGGAAAAGGTGGAATCTTCTTGTTTCAAGAGCCAAAGAAGCAGAAATTCCTAAGAAGCCTTAGTCCTTTCCCTCCAGTTGGGACGTAAGCCCTCTGGGACACAGTCTTTGAATAAAAGTCTAGCTGAAGGCTTAGAATTTACGTCTTAAGAGAGGGAGTTTCTAGGGCTGTGCCATTTGGTTGAAGGGGGACAGGGATTGGAAAGGGGACTAAGGCTTCTAGGATGGGAAATACCAAAGTCTAAAGTTAATCAGTGTCCAGTGCCCCAGAGTTCAGCAAACTAGGAGATGGAAGCACGGGAAGGAAACCACCCTAGAGAGCAGACCGCTGGGGCAGCTAGAGGTGCTACTGTCACAGAGAGGTATCTTAGATATTTCAACTGCTATTTTCCAAGGAAACTTTACACACCCCTTTCTTGCTAGAAAAAGAAAGGAGGGAAAACCTGCTTCAGAGACCAGACCCTTAACTATAAAAATAACATATACATTCCCTGGGAATATGTTCTAGAGCTAAGGAGATTACAAAGACTGCAAGAGATGGTATCGCAAAAGTCTGCCACATCTATCCTGTTCCCTCAAGTTCAGAGCAGTTCTCAAACTGGGCACAAACTAAGAGTGCAACTCTGCTCCAAGAACTTCCTTTTCTTTTCTTCATTTTTTGAAACAAAATAAAACGAAACAAAAAACAGAAGAATTAAAAGCACTGTAGCTGCGGTGAGTCTATTGTTCTCTCAATCCAACTGTCTCCTGCCTCTGTATGAGGATGAACACAGGGCTGCAGCTCACTCTTAGCAAAAATAAGCTTCGTCCCTTGCAGCTGTTGGTTCTGATTGTGTTCTCGCCAGCATTCCATGGAGAAAGAGAGAGACACACACACAGAGACAGAGACAGAAACGGAGACAGAGACAGAGAGAGAGTTCCCAGATGGTTCCGGTCTCTAGCTCCCTTCAGGAGTGAAAAGGAGCTCACGGGGAAGGGTCTTCATTCCAGTTCTCAGAGAAAATCAAGCTCCAAAGCCTGGTGGAGGGACACCAGGTCTCCATGGTTGGTGATTCTCCAGAAAGGCATGTTGTGCTGGAAGAGAGGGGGATAGTTGATAGCTGTTTAACCCAACCTCTTTTGGGTTAAGCTCCTCTTTTGGGAGCTGACACTTACCTATATACCTCTTCCTCTCCCCGAGATACTTGGTAACACACTCTACTCCTGCCCACCTTATAGGGCTGTTATTAAGGAGCAAGTAAGTCATAGGTATAAAGACTTTGTACCCTATAGGACACTTTACAAATGTGAGAGATTTTTATCAGGTCTTTTGTGGTAACTGTGCTTTTATGATATATACTTGTTCTAGCCATTATACAGGGTCTTCAGGATCAAATAAAATGACCCACATAAGAAATTACTATTAATATATTACATTTTCTTACAGACGGTCAGTTTTCTATATGTTTCAGACAAAGTTTCTCTAAGTTTCTACAAAGCCTAAATCTTGTTCACCACTAAGATGCAGAATACACAGATCTAAGAAATAATAATCCCATTTACCATGTTGTCAAAATCATGTCCAGAATACTGTGTGCTGTTGTAGAAGCCACATTTTAAAGAAGGGATTTGAAAAATCCAAGTGTTGGAAACCGTGTTCTATGAAGCCGAAGGGGATTAGCTTTACTGATCGTTTTGTTCACACTCCTTGCAAGTTACCCGAAATACTGAAGTCTTACAACAGTTCTTTTGGCAATAAGCTCAGTGTTTCTCAAGCATGCTGCTCACCCATAATATTTAAAAGGCTTTTAATATACAGAACAGGAAACAGACCTGTTATATCATACTCAGGACTCGGACCAGGATATGAAAGTTAGAGATACAAGTTTGAGTTCAGTGGAAGGAGGACCATCCTAACAGCTTGGATGACGCCACAGTAGAACACGACACACAGGAAGCAGTCTCCCCATCCTTGGGTTTATTCAAGCAAGGACTAGGAAGTCTTCTGGGAAAGGGGCTGCAGAAAAGGTCCCTCACAGGGTAGAGGCTGAACTGGATAGAGCTCTAAGGCATCTTCCAATGGGTATATTCTGTGGTAGATGATTACAGGCATCAGTTTAGTGGCCCCAACTCCGCTAATGACTTAATTGTTCTCTATCTCCCCGACTCCCTTCTTCAAACCGAGCAGCACTGTTGCCTCCATCCACTAGTGTCTTCTTCCCCCCCACCCCCGCCCAGAGGGCAACAAGCACTTCAGAATCAAAGCCTCAAAGATAACACATGAAAAAAAATAAAGGTCCTTGAATTGCTACATAAAATAGTACATGAAAACATAATGAGGTAATAATGCCACCCGATTACCAATCTTACAGTTTATTAGTAGTTGAATATTTACATTAACTGAAGAAATCAGGACAGCTGGTCCTAGCTGGCAACCCTCCACCTCCAAACGTAAGAAATAGAGTTGCTGGAAGGAAACTAGGGCAGAGGAAAAGAACTTCTGTAGATCCATTTAATAAACGCAGATGAGGAAACTCAAAGAGGAGAAGTAAACGGTCCAAAGTCACACAGCTAATCAATGGAGGAGAGCTGACCCAATTTAATTTTAGATTCCACAGTCAAGACTCTTTCATCTATTGTTTCCTGTAGTGAGATGAGGTGGCCTGGAGTTGGGACCTGCACAGTGAGGAGGTTAACAGCAGAACAATCTTTTCTGGGCTTGAAAGCAGGAAGGACTTCATCTAAACAACTTTCACTTGATTGTACTGGCTTTTTGAGAATTTAAAGCCTGGAAAAATCAGACTGATTTGCCTTTTTGTAGTGAAGTCTCATGCTCTTGGGAAGGCATTGCCCTCTAAGATGAAGATGGCAGATAGGGCCTGTATCAGGTTTAATGATGGGGGTCCCTACAGCAGGGCTCAAAGATTTTAAGATTTCTGAGTGGCAGGGAGGAGGGGGAAAGGAAGGATCTAACAACTTATAGGGAAAACTCTATTTGGGGGAAAAATGAACATCTTTCTTTAAAGAAAAACAGGACAGAGAAAACACTATAAATGCACAAGATTGCTAAGATTTCTGACTTTTACCATTTTTCTAATTGTTTGCTGCATTCCCACATGGACTATTCTCTTTACCATGGTTACCTGTTTGGCTGCAATTTCTTCATCTCGTCCATCTCCAATCACTACATATGTGACTTTCTTTCCAAACCTAGACACAATTCTCTCAAAGCAGCTCTCCTTACCTGATGAGAAAAAGAAATTTCCCATTAGGACATTCTCCCCACCTTTTTTCAACACCAAAGAAAAGGGCTGCTGCTGGTTCACCTGCCTAGGCTTAGAAAAAACAGGTGACAGCCCATGTAGTTTGGTGGGGAGTGGGGGTGGCAGCTAGAGATCCAGCAGGTCCGCTGCCCAAAAAATGTGAGTGCTCTTTAGGTTCTTATTTTAATAAGTGTGGGGAATTTTTTGTTTTGTTTTGTTTTGTTTTTTAAGTAGGCTCCACACCCAGGGAGGGCTTGAACTCACAACCCTGAGATCAAGACCTGAGCTGAGATCAAGACCTGAGCTGAGATCAAGAGTTGGACACTTATGGGGCGCCTGGGTGGCTTAGTTGGTTAAGCGGCTGCCTTCGGTTCAGGTCATGATCCCAGGGTCCTGGGATCGAGCCCTACATCGGGCTCCTTGTTCTACAAGAGGCCTGCTTCTCCCTCTCCCACT